CGCCACCACGCCGACACGAACGACGCGCGCGCCGCCGCCGTCGTCGCGCGCGCGCGCGTCGCCGACCGACCGTCCGTCCTCGCGCGCGCGCACACACACACACACACACACACACACACACACACACACACACACACACACACACACACACACACACACACACACACACATGGGCAGATGCAGGTCAGGCAGGCACGGCCTGTTTCAACGACCGAGCATGGTCGATTCATTTCGCAGCACGGCTGAGGCCAGCGCAGCATCGGCATGACAGGCCTAGGGAGTCGGAGCAAGAGTAGTCGCTCGTGCAGGGAGGCGCGGCGGCCAGTCCTTTGGATGCCCCTCATCGCTGCTGCGGCCGGCAAGCAGCCTTTCTCGTAGCGATCAGCGAGACGTCGCAGCGGATCTCGTCACCATCGAGCGGAAGAGGGCGGGCCAGGCACACCCTCATACCGCTGATTGCCTCTGACCGGCGCCCGCCAGCCGATCCAGGAACTGCCGTCATCAATCCGAGGTCGATAGAGATGAGCCCGGGGAGAGAGCAGGCGGGTCAGCCATCGCACGTCGAGCGTCATTCTTGCCCTGGCCCTCGCGGACTCTCCTCAGCTTCTACTCACGCCACGGATGTACGGGAGCGAGAGGACGTTGCCAATCACTGGCAGTTGCCGCAGAAAGTTGAGGATCACTGGGAAAAAGTCGCTGGACGTTCGCAAAGACGCCGCGGGGACGGAGGCGAGCAAGGCTCGGTCGTCAGCGACACGCTGACCGTCGCCGGTCGCCTACATCAGAAGCGACCTAGTCTGCCGCCGAGACCCACCCAAAGAGGTTGAGGAACCCAAACGCCTCGACGAGCATGCCGATGACGGCCCACTTGCAAAAGACGAGAAACATGCCCGCAAAGAAGCAGACGGTGCCGCGAATCTTTTGCTTGCGCGCGAAAAAGTAAAACGTCTTTTGCGGGCCAATCAGCAGCGTGATGCCCGCCGTGAAGAGGACGTTGCCGAGCGCCAGCAACGCAGCATCAAAGAAGAGGACGATGCCGACCAGCAGGAAGAATGCACCGAACGACACCAGGCCGACGCCGATCTCTGCGGGAGCGGGGCAGGTTGGAGATGAGGACGAGGAGGGGGCCCGGGGATGGTCAGCGAGGCTGACGTCGGTGCGGACGGCGAGAGGCGCGCTGGTGCACCTCTGCAGACTGCTTCGACACTCACTCTGCTGATCCGTGAGCCACATCCTGTCCGGTCCTTGGTATACCGCGTCGAGGTGGGCGCGCGACAGAAGCGAGGGTCGTGAAGTGATATGAAATCGTCGGAACGCGTGGCTCCTGGGCTGTGCTTCGGCAAGGAGAGCGGTTCAGAGCAGGTGACGGTCCAGACACGACGCCGGTGCGAAAAGGAAAGAGGTGATGGCAGCGTCGAGGACAAGGCGGAGGCAATGGTGGAGCGGAACCAACACGCACAGTCGGCCCCGCTCTTCGCGCCAATCAACCTACCAAGCTACACAGCCCATGCCGATGCCGCGCCTGCCTGCCGCGTGGAAGCGATGCGGCCATGCCCGAATTCCGAGACTGGCACGACAACCGTCCCCCCCGCCTCCCGCCCTCTGCAATCGCCAGTCTTGGTGCCAATTGCTCGACGGGCGAACAGGGCTGCTGCGCTGTCCTGGCCGATCTCGATGCACAGGGTGGGTTGAGCTTGGATCGAGTGGGAGTGCATCCCCTTTCTGTCCTGTCTGGCTACTAGTAGTACATGATAATGGGGCGGCGACGAGACGTCCAAGGGGCGGCCGAGGGGGAAAGGCAAAGGATCAAGCGGGAACTGGGACGAACGAAAAGCGAGATGGCGACGCAAGGCCGACGGCTCGGCCAGCAGCGCGGATGCCTGACCCGAGATCATCCGGACGAGGATGCCAAAGCCGCAGCACGAGCGCAGCAATGGGCCATGTAGAGCCAAGATGGAGCGACCGAAGGCCGTCCGTGGAAAACCTGAGGCGGTGGGGAGCGCGACAGCCGGCGTCCCCGCCCAGCCTTGGCCTCATCTTTGGCGTTTGGCAGGGCTCGCGGCGTGGCCGAGCTTCGGACTTGGGCTCGGCGCCGTCTTGTTCTTGCGCTTGACGCCCGCGGGGCCCTGGGACACTGCCGCGCCGCTGGGCGAAGTGCCGTTCGGATTGCCGTCCGTACTCGGCAGCAGCTGTCCCTGCTGGCCCGGCGGCGGAGGGCCAGCACCGGCACCGGCACCGGGGCCCTGGCTCTGGGCGCTGGTCGGGCGGAGAGGCTGCCCTGCCATGCCCGTAGCTGGGCTGCCAGGTTGTCCATGGCCGCCGACGGCAGAGGCGCCGTTCGGCTGCACGCCGTTCTGCTGAGCCCGGTTCTGCTGCGCCTCGCGGTACTGGGCGGCGAACCTGCGCAGCGTGTCTGTTTCCGGCCGGGGGACGCCAGGGGAAGGGCAAAGCATGGTTCCGCATCAGTTGTGATCCAATGATGCCTGTCGAGGTGGAGGGGGGGCCCGAGAGGTGCATGCCTCTCCTGCATTTCGCGACGTACCTATTGGGCCCATCTTGTCCTTGAAGCTGACGTCGATCAGGTCTCGAAGCTGGCACACGCTCTCGGTGATCTGCCGTGGGCGTGATGAGGGGACGACAAGGTCAGTGCACCGTTCCGTCCATCCAATGGCCAGATCAGCCGCTCTTCACTGTGCTCACCTCGAGGCACCGCATCGCACGCAGGCAGATGCCGTACTCGTTGACCGGGTACTCTGGCAGCGTGTGCTGCTCGACCGCCATGGTGAAGGGTGTATGGGCGGCGGCCTTGGGTTCATCGTCGCCGCCGAGATTGCGGTCGTCTTCGCTCTTGACGTTGGCGGCAGGGTCGCGATCGTCGTCCTTTTTGCTGCCGCCGTCCGCCTTTGCCTCGCCCAGCTTGTCGCCGCGCTCCCGCTCCTCTTCCTTCCGGTCCTTGGCGCCCGCTCCGCCCTTCTTTCCCTTGGCCGCCGCACCGCCGCCGGTGTTGTTGGACGGGCTCGTCGTGCCGGCGTCTGACCCTGTCGACGACGACGCTGCCGCCCGGCTGACGATGTGCTGGACGACGTCGCTGGGGATGGCCGTCTCGATCTTGGTCTTTTGAATGGCAGCGCGCGTGATGTAGCCGGTGTGCGCATGGACGGTAAAGTCAAGCGACTCGAGGCGCAGCTGGACATCGTACCTCGCCGCCGGCATGGCGCCGTTCTCGTGGCCCGGCAATGGGCCCACGGGCTTGGCGTAGGGTACAAAGTGGGCGCGCAGCAGGCCAACCATCTGCACCTGCCACCCGTTTTCGAAGCTGGTGTACATCGTCGCCCGGCTCGCCTCGACCAGGTGGGTGACGAGCGGCGAGGGGAAGCTGCTGAGGAACTTGGTCGAGGCCGGCGGCGGCGGCAGCAACGACGTGGCCGGGTAGCCGGTGGTGTACTCGCGCGGGTTGTCGAGGCTGAGTTGGGAGCTGCGGACGCCCGAGACGGAGCTGGTGTAGAAGTAGCGGGGCAGCACCGACGTGGGCACCTCGAAGCCCTTCTGCTCTCGCGACGCCGGGTTCCACAGCAGCAGGCGGAAGATGCCCGAGGGCACAAAAAACTCGTCGACAAACGAGCGCCAGTACTCGACCTCGTTGCGGCTGGGCCCTGGTCCGAGCCCCTCCGAGTACTGCATCAGGCGCAGCACGCCCGAGCCAGGAGGAAACTGGGACTGCAGCTGGGGATAGGGACCCGCCGTCGGCGGCTGGACTGCTGGCACACTGGCGGCGGCGGCGGCACTGTTGGCCGCCGTCGGGAGAGGGGCGCCAGGCCGCCGACCATGGGACTCGCGCCCGCGCTGCCGACGGCGGGCGAGGCCGCAGCGAGCGGATTCGTGCCGGACCGCATCAGCGGCGTACCCGATGGCGGAGCGGCCTGCGGTGTATGTGCGCCGCCAAACGAAGCCTGGCCTGGGGGCGCGCTGGCCGACGGGACGGGGATGCCGGCAGCAGAGGGTGGCCGCGGGTGACCGGGTGTCATCGAGCCTGGCGGAAGGCTGCTGCCCGAGGGCGGCAGGATCTGCTGGCTCGACAGCGGCCGCATCGGGGTGCCGACGCGCGGGCTCGACGAGAGCGACGTCGACCCTGGCTGGCCCTGTCCCGACCCGCTGGCCTGCATCGGCAGACCTCCCGGCCCCATCTGCGGCGTGGGGACCCGCCCCGGTATCGCGCCCTGAGCATGCACAGGTGTGTACGGGTGCGGCCCGGCTGTGCCCTGGGAGCCGACGAGGTGCTGCGGCTGCTGCGGCTGCTGCTGCTGCGGCTGGGGTTGTGGCTGGCCTGGCATTCCAGAAAGGTGATTGGCCTGCGACCGAATCTGCGGCGCCATCTGCTGTTGCGGTTGCTGCTGCTGCTGTTGCATGGTCTGTGGGCTGCCGGCGTGGCGCTGCCCGAATGGCGATGCCATCGCGCCCGCACCGCGGGGCGGGCCCGCAAGGTGCTGACCGTTGGAGGCGGATGGAGTCTGCGGCTGTGAGATGCGACCCATCTGAGCCTGCTGCTGCTGCTGCTGCTGCTGCTGCTGTTGCTGCTGCTGTTGCTGCTGCTGCTGAAGGTGCTGCTGATGCTGCTGGTGTTGCTGGTGGTTGGGTTGCTGATATACGACGTTGGACGATGGCCCGTTTGGCGTCTGGATCTGCGGGATGCCAATCTGGTGAGGTTGCTGCTGCGGTTGACCCTGCTGCGGCCGCTGGTGAAACATGGCCTGAGGCTGTGGCTGACCCGGTTGTCCAAACTGCTGCTGGTGCTGCTGGTGCTGCTGCTGTTGCGGTTGTGGCTGCTGGTGCTGCATCTGGGCCTGCTGAGGCTGTGATGGGCCCGGCATGTGCATCGGATGACCGCCGATGGACTGCTGGGCGTAGGCGGGCTGTGGCACGCCGTAGCCGCCTGCTTGAGCGGCCACTCCGACGAGATGATGCTGGTGAGGCCCAGGTGCCATCGGGTACGCCTGCGCGGCGCCGTTGGGCATCATCGTGACGGGCGACGTGACCGGCTGGTCGCCGACGGCAGATCCGAAGACGACCTACGGACGATCCGTTGGGTTTCGCTGACGGCTGCCTCTGCCCGGCTCTAGCTCGCCGTCAAAGGCAGACGACCCGTGGGAAGCAGACGCGAAGGTCAGAGAGAGGCCACAGGAAGCAGCGCCGGTCCGTTGTTGGTGAGTGCGGAGGCGACGACTGTGGTGGCCGAGATGCGACGACGACGAAAGAGGCGCACTTCGCCAAGCGCCGTCCGTTTCTGGGCCAGAATGCGAGGCCAGCGCGGTTGGTCCCCGAGACGACTGGTGGATGTGATGCTGCAGCGGAGGCGTGGCTGGATAGACGTCAGGATTCGCTTCCGTCTCCGGGAGGACGCCGATGCTGTCCGGTGCGCCGGGCCTTGGTGACGCGCTCTAGTCGTCGGGGCTCTTCTTTGGACCAGCCGAGGAGACCGAGACGAGGGCAGAGCACGGCGCTGAGAGGCGATCCTGGCCGGAAGGACCGTCGGCGAGCCACGATATAACAGACGTCTCTTGGTCGTGTTTCGGAGAAATACGGGTCGCGGCGAATTGGCGGAAAGGGCCGAGCGAGTCAAGGATCCGAGGTCGGCGAAGTGCGGCTTGGGGTGGACCGAGAGCGCGCAGAGCGAAGGCGATGGCGATGAAAGCGTGTAGCTTTGCCGCGGGCGGCCGAGGAGCAGGAGCAGGAGGAGTAGCAACAGGAGGAGCAGGAGCAGGGGAGGGTTGGGCCGATGGTTCGACGACGACGGCGCTGGCGGCGGCGTGTGTGTGGGTGACCGTGCGGAGAGGGAGCGAGAGCTGGCAAGTGGCGAGCCCTTGGCTGTCCCTGCCGCTGGCTGGCCTGCTTGCCTGCCGCCTGCCTGCCTGCCCATCTGCGCCTTTCGCCTCTCCGGCTTCCCTGTCGCCGGGTCCACCTGCAGACGGCGCCAGACTGAACGGACGGAGGTGCCTGCCTGCCGCCGCCGCCTGCCGCCTTGCGCCTGGCCCCGAGGCTCGCCGCCGTCGCGACATGGGCTGGCAGACCGGCAGGCCTGACCTGCCCTGGCCTGCCTGCCTGCAGGCGCTCGGGCAAGCCCCAACTTGGCCCCAACTCGCAAGCCGAGCACCCGATGGTATGGGAGATCCCGATCCCGATCACGGCCCTGCCTGGTCGCCGAGCAACGCGCGCGCCCTGGGGTTGGCGGGCTGGCCGCCAAGCTGGCCTGGCTCGACTGTCGTCTGGCTGGCGGGGCTGAGGACGGGCGCGCCCGCTCAGAGGGTCGCTCAATCAGGTCAGGCCACACAGAGCCGCCCGCACCTCATCGCTCTCCACCTCGCCCTCACCGACCACCACCATCACCACCACCAACATCAACACCCTCATCGACCGCTGCTGCCGCCTCGTCGACGTGCCGGAAAAGCAGTGCACGCTTCAGCCGATCAATCTCGACTCAGCGGTTGGCATCTCCGTAAGTGTACATCATCGCCATCTTCCTCGCCCTCTCCCACCACACCCACCTCGGCACACTCCTCTGTCCGACGCGCTTGCACTGCATCATACATCGTCTTCCTGGCACTGTCCGACTTGGCCAGCATGCGCTATCCCATCGCCTCATGAAAGCCACCAGACGTCAGCGAAGTCGGCCGCTGCGCCATCACGCCCCTTGCCTGCTGCTGCCACCACCACGCCCCCTCCGGCTCAGTCGAAGCTTGTTTGCAGCAGCTGCTGCCTCAGTGCATCGCCCTACCTAGCCGTCCGATCCAAGACACACCACTCGCTGGCAACTTCGCATCCTTGTCTGACCGTGGCCGTAGCCCTCTCCTCTCGGCGCCTGCTCGCGACCGTCCGCTTACCCTGCCTCTGCCCCCTGTCATCCCTCATCCTCTTCTCTCATCATCGACCCTATCCGCTTCGGCCTTTGCGTCCACCCTTTCGTCTCGTCTCGCACCCCGCTGGTCCCAACACTGCAGCAGTCTCGCCACACCAGCCTCTCTGCTCGCTCGCACCGTCCCATCAGGCGCGCCCTGCGCCGATTCGTCCGCTGCGTTACGTGGAGGACCCCCCAAGACCCTGGTCTGCCCTCGCCGCTGGAACAGGCCATCAAAATGGAATACCGCGACTCCTATCGTGGCTACGAACGTCCTGCGGGCTTCGACGACCCGGCGTCGGCCTACAAGCACCCGATCGAGGATGCCTTTGGTGAGTCTGCGCTCGGTCTCAGCGACATCGACGCCTGGAGAGCGCTGCGACTGACCTCGGCTCCGCCGCCACCGCCACAATTCTCCCAAGTAGACCGATCTCGGAAACGTGGTCGCTCGCCCTCTCCGACGTTCGACCGGTACGCCTCGGAGCGTCGGGCGAGCGCGTACGGCGCCTACCCTCCCGCTCCCGGCGACGCCTGGGACCGCGAGAGGGAGTATCCTCCGCCCGCCGTCGACGGCAAGCCTTACGTCGCCGCTGCTCGGGGTGGCTACGACGATTATGGTCGCGGCGCCGACCCGTACGAGCGGGACCGCGAGCGCGCACTGGAGTGGGAGCGGTACTACCGGGAGCGAGATCCGGCGTACCTCGACGACTACGGCGCATCGGATCGGGACCGCTACGAGGCGAGGAGGCGGTACGACGACGAGGACCCGCGCGACCGCCACTACCGCGAGCGCGACCGAGGCTTCGCGGCGTATGGCGATGTCGGGCCCGCAGCCTCGGCGACGCCCCAAAGGAGGGGCGGCCCAGACTACGGTCGCGACGTCAGCGGCTCCGCATACCGCAACGGCGGAGGCGAGGCGCTGCCGCCACCGGACCCGATGCAGTCCGAGACGCTGCTGCCGTTCCGGGCATTCGCCCAGATGACCAAGGCGGCCCACCCGTCGGCAAAGGACCGGAGCATCGACGTGCCCACGACGCAAGAGCTGTACGAGGGCTACCAGGTCTACCGCTTGGCCTTCTCCAAGCGGGCGATGCAGGCCTTCTTCGAGAGGCGGAAAGACGAGCCTTGGTTCCAGGAAAAGTACAGCGCGGCGGAAGGGTTCGTCGCCGCGCGGCAGAAGCGGAAGCGCGCTGGCCGCCTCGGCAGAAAGGAGGCCTGGCTCGAGGAGCTGGCGAGCGGCAAGCTCGACGCCGTCAACTTTGACCTCAAGGTGGCCACCGAAGCCTCTTCGGGCTTGTCCGCGGATGCGGCCGGGGTAAAGGTGGAGGGCGAGGCCGAGGGGCTCGCCAGCGACAGGCATGGCGATGTCGACGACGAGGGGGCCGATCCCGACGCGCGCGAGGGGAGGAACGGAAGGGACGACCACCGGGACGTCCGCCGCCCGCGGGCCGAGAGCGTGCGGATCGGCGACCCGGTGCTCACGACGCGATACGGCGGCATCGAGCCGATCCCCGGGGAGCAGGTGCCCATTCCTGCTTCGGACTGCCAGCTGCTCGTCACGGGTATCCCTTCGGACATTCCACGCGCCAAGCTCGAAGAGCACCTCCAGAGCCGACCGGGCTTCCGTTACCTGGCGCTCGGAGAGCCGCACGCGGGCAAGCGGTGGCACCGCGTCGGCTGGGCCATGTACGACGAGGGCACCGACATGGAGGAGACGGCGCGGGCGCTCGAGGGCAAGGACATTGACGGCTATGCTGTCCACGTCACCGTCTCGGCGCGGCCCGCGTCGGGCAAGGTGCGATCGGTGCCCGAGTTTGCAAACTCTTTCGTCCGGCTGCAGCAGGACCTGAAGCAGGTCAAGGCGCTGGTGGCCAAGTTCGAGGAAGAGGACCGCACCGTCCTCTTCCGCGATGAGGCCGAAGAGGGGGCCGCCTGGCTGCAGACCAATGCCTCGGACGCCATCCTGGCAAGGCACCGCGAGCTGGAGCCGGAGCTCGGCGACGAAGTCTTTGAGCAGGGCTACGATGCCGACGAGGAGCCCGAGAGGCGCGAGGCGCGCAGGGCCAAGCTCAAGAAGCACCTCGACTGGCATCTCGACCTGTTGCGCACCGTCTACCACACCGACTACTACCTCTCGCTGATCTGCGAGTTCGGAGAGGAGCTCCTGCGGCGGAGTCCGCGCCACGCCCGACGCCAGGCGCCGCCCGGAGTGCTCTGCGAGACGCCGAGGGAGAGCACCAGTGAGTGCAAGACGCGGCTTCCGAGGTCGCTCGCGCTGTTCGCCCACTGACGCTGACCATCCTCCGCCTCACACCCTTCGCATCTATCCTTCAGACGATGAGTCGTGGTCCAAGAGCGTCGACCAGAAGGCCACGCTGCTGCTGACGGACGACAAATCAGATTTGACCGAGTTTGGCGGCAAGAGCGTCGACGCGTGAGTGTCTAACCTCCAGCAGGCCATTACGAATCCATTGAGGACGAACGTCGCTGACCAATCCCCCCTTCCCTCCACCCTCCCTCTCTCTCTCTCTCTCTCTCGTCTCTCTCTCTCTCTCTCTCGTCGTC